AGCCGTCTCAGCCACACTGGAAAGACCTGGGCCTGTGGCTATACACATCTACAATAGCCAGTTTGAAGGAATAATCTTGGTCAACCAGAGGGGTAACCTATTTTCAGAACACATATCTTTGCTGGTGCTCTATTCTCATCGAGGGTTGACCCAGATGAAGGTCTGCCGTCAAGGCTTGGGTGGTACAGTGGTACAGACCTGGTAAAAATTCTAGCTTGCGGTCCAGGTAGATGATTCTATATATATATATATACATATGTATAAATATGTTATGTATATATATATGTATAAATGTATAAATATGTCCTTGACTTCTCGAGAATCGTGAAGGCATTTGTTGAAGCTCTTGTCACAAACATGGCTTTCTCGTCGACTCTACGAAAACCCCCATGGGATCAGAGAGGGACGGAGAAATAATGCGGGCATATTGCGACAAGAACATGATTGTCGTTGTAAAGTCCAAGATACCAATACATATATATATATACACACATGTATGTATGTATGTATGCATGCATGCATGCATGCATGTATGTGTGTGGATGTGTGTGTGTATGTGTGTATGTGTGTATGTGTGTATGTATGTATGTATGTATGTATGTATGTATGTATGTATGTATGTATGTATGTATGTATGTATGTATGTATGTATGTATGTATGTATGTACTTATGTACTGTATGTATGTATGTATGTATGTATGTATGTATGTATGTATGTATGTATGTATGTATGTATGTATGTATGTATGTATGTATGTATGTATGTATGTATGTATGTATGTATGTATGTATGTATGTATGTATGTATGTATGTATGTATGTATATGTATGTGTATATATATATATATATGATATGTATGTGTATATATATATATATACATATGTTGCACAAATAATATATATATATATTACATAAATATCATGTACACATATGCATTGATATACATATGTGCATGTCCTATAGAAATATGAACATCCTGTCTAAATATGACCCGCGTCCAAGTGCCGTACATGGCCAGACCCAACAGCACCACCTGTGGGCCGTGGATGGGCTTATTCAATGGGAAAACCCATATTTTGATGTTTTTTTTTGTTCCTGGGCAGTTATACATGATATACAACACTAACATATACTAAGCTATACAAGGTGGAAATAATACTCATGTGGTTAAAACAATGTTATTTTTACCACCCATGACTGGGAATGGTAACCATAGCACCCATAAGAATGGTGATGACTTGGGGATGGTTTATTATTGTTTTACCCACATTGCCCATATTTCAGGAAACCTCCATATATACACATTCGTTTGCTGTTTAATCTGGTTCTGCTTCTCATTATTACTATTCATCAGCGTGTTTGCAGAGCACAGGTCCATAAGTGTCTCTGTGCCAATACGCCGTGACGCTGAAACCCTGTTGACAGCCGATACGCGGTTACGCCCTACTAATACTATTGGAACTATCATCAATCTCATTACTATGTTTATTGATATTTTATTGTTTCCAGACGTGACGATATGGTAAAGGATCAAAACTCAACCAGTACCCCAGTTATATCAAAACAGCTGCATAAAGCTGGACATCCTACAGTGTAGGATATCAAAGCTCTTGGCTGGTTTTGACCCAATGATAAGAATGGTTACAATGATATTGTTGATAATAATGATTTTAATGATTACAATGGTAATAATGCTTATAATGACTGTAGTGATTATAATGATTAAGATTAGCATAATGAGAATAGTGATTACGATGATGATGATGATGATGATAGTGATGATGATGATGATGATGATGATAGTGATAATCATGATTGTAATGATAGGAAGAACCCCATTTTGACCCATCCCCATGTGAAAACTTCAACTTCTATGGGTGAAATCCTGGTCATTTTATGCCACCAAGAAACTCCTGCTAAGCGCCAAGGGTGCGAATTTGCAGCATCCTTCAGGAAGGTCGGCACATTTTTTCCGCGGCCCTTGGATACCATTTTTAATAGGTAAACCATCTATAAATGGGTCATCTATACCATGGCTATGTTAAATAACCAGATGGTAAATCCTATAGTAATTTAACATAGCTATTGAAAATGGCCATAGAAATAGTGAGTTTTCCCATGAAAAATGGTGATTTTCCATAGTTATGTAAACGTTTACCAGAGGGTAATCCTTCAGAATGGGGTTCTCTACCCATAAATTTACAATGAGAACCAGAAACATTCCGGATGTACATGCACACAACTCAAGGATACATTGAACTTCATTGAACCAATAAATTTGACTGTAAGAAAAAAGAAAAACATCAAAGGGATACAACCTACTTGTTTGCCACGGCATCTGCCGAAGCAAATCTTGCCTGATGGCGGCTACATGCTTTAGCGAGAAACTGATCGAGTGATTTATGTGATTTAAAAAACAGAATCTTTAGACTGGATACCAATGTGGCTTCCAGTGGGAAGGAAGCTTGGCATGGCCAACCCTTTTTTTTAATTGCAAGATACTCATGTATTTTCACTAGAATGAAGCCAGATTGGGAAACGACCGGACCTACAAAAACGGGTTGGGTCCCCCAAGGTCGCCAGGATGATGAATTAGATCCCACAATGACCAGTCCATGGGTGTAGCAAATGTGTACCAGTCCATGTTTGACCCATAACCATAGGTTGACATGAACAGTCCAACATGGCTGGGAGATGCTGAAAAACCCTCTACTGAAAAGAGAAGCTTGGCAACACAGGAAAAAAAGCGGCATGACTGGCTAGCTTTAAAGCAAATCAACCTGACCATCAGACAAAATCTTCAGATAGTTTGTCCAAATGCATTGTCCAAATCCTTTGTTCATAGGGCGCCCTGAGGCTTTGCACATTGCTTCTTGGGTCCTATGCCAAGGTACCAATCTGGCAACATCAGCCAACGAATCCTGGGAATAGAACATCCCCATAATCTATATATCCCCAAGACAGAGTAGATATCCCATGGAAATATCACCTCTATGACTGGTAGAACTCCATTGATAACCAGATTGTTACTATTACTGGGTGTGGATTCCAGAATGATCGTATACTAATCCGATAGTTCTGGGATGACGCCATAATCCCAATTCTTCTCGCTATATCCCCACGATTTGTTATTCCCAATTTTAACTGACCGTTTTCCATGACTTTCCAGCAACACATCAACCCAAGTATTATGAAGATCCACCATGTGTACCCTCTGGTAAACATACAGAAAACTATGGAAAATCACCATTTTCAATGAGAAATTGAAAATCAACTATTTCCATGGCAATTTTATGCAATTTTCAATAGCAAACTGTAAACGTTTACCAGAGGGTATCATTTTTGATCATACATTACCATGTTTCATCTTCTTGGGTGACGGTGACCCAAAAATATGGTAATCCTATCCCCCTGTGGTGCTGAATGTCCATATGGTCCCTCCGGTAAGTTCACTGAAAACTGCCAAGTTCAATTCCCCAATTTTTTAAAAAAAAAACTAATTCTCTCTAGTTACTCTAGTTATGTAGGATATATTGATATGTGTATGTATACATATGTATATATACATGTATATATATATACATATGTATATATATATATAAAGATGTATATACATATGTATATATACATATATGTATATACATATACATATACATGTATATATATATACATATACATACATATATATATATATGATATCAGATATATGTCCCCGCCCATATCTCCATGTTCCATCTGAACATTGGAATTTCGGCCACGCCTGGCTGGCGGCCAATTCCTGGAGATTCACTATCCATCCACTGACCTACCTCCAGCAATTAGGAAATTCGTAGCATCGAGTGCTGAATGGAAAATTTCCAAAACATCTGAATAATGAGAGCTGAATAGCATCCAAATAATGAACATACAAGATTCAAAATCACATAATCTCAGAACCAGAAAAAAAAAATGTACCAACTTGTTGTCGAGTTATTCGAGAGACTTGTTGAAAAAAGTCTTCCGGCACTCCGAAATTGGCGGGGGATCCCAACTCGGAGAGGAATGTCTACCAGGCAACCTGGATACCTTTGGAAGTTGGGCACAAAATGCCGGGCACTTTTGGCTTACATCATTGGGATCAGAAAAATGATTTGTCTATCGTCCTCTGGGTCAAACCTGTGACCCATACATACCCATACCCATGGCAGTGTCTTTACTAGCTATATAATCCTCAGTGCGTGTTTATAAGATCCTCATATTTGTTGGTGAACGTTCCGCTTTGTCAAAAAAATGTCTCTGTGTGTGTTACTCAAATTCCCATGTTTGGCTCTTGTTTTCTCGGTTTGGGTTGCTTAAAGCATATATCTGGGCAAATTATAATATTTCACGAACCTGAATTTCTGGGCCATAAAAGGGGATGATTTCCCTTATTAATAACCATGATTCCAGGGTTCGGTCGCGACGTGAGGTCGTGATGAAATTTACCCAGATATATCCCCATTGCCCATCTGGGACCCCTTGCTGTGGCCAAGGGAGGCTGGAGCATGGCGCGATCCTGCGATAAGATATCACCTTAAACAACAGTAATGAATGGAGATAATAGGGATGTAATGGAGATATAATTGGTATATATTGGGTTTCTTGGGAATGGGTATATTGGATGTGATTAACCTGGCTAACTAACTAAATCTGATACTTGGGTAATGGGTATCATGTACCCCTCATGGATCGGAATAATGATCGGGATTATTTTTTTTTGATTTAATGGGAGGTAAATGGGGGTATAAACCAACTTAAACGGCAAATCTGGATAAGTCAGAATAATATACGATGTTGGGCCATTTTGGGATACTTGCCCTTCCATTCACCATCATGTGCATCGTGACGTCGCGAAGTGAGGTCGTTATGTGTATGTATGTCTATGTATATATATATATATAGTAGTTGATCCACAGGCGAACAGAGAAGTCGTGTTGCAAAGCAAGATGCGAAGCATGGAAAAGAAAGTGTTGCTCCACTTTACCTCCTACGTCCTTTCGGAACCAGAAAGTGGACATTGAATGGCGAAACTCTGCGAAAATCTGGCAAAGAACCATGGGGATTTGGGGATACCCAAACTTTTCCCCATTTGGGCGGGCAGAGAGTCGTCTCCAGGCTTCATGTAAACCCCTGGTGTTTTGCGAGCAACCGGCAATATGTCATGGTTGAAAACATATGATCCGTGTAAAATCCCTTTGTTCATCCACTTACCATGATCTCCACCCAGTTTTTCAGTTTTCATCACAGACTGGAGTTCAGAGATTACCAGTTCAAGCACTAAACTCCTGGCGATAATCCTGGAAATCGGAAAACTCCCGAAATCCATGACGGGTTGAACCAGAAAAACCCTAGAACCACCCATTTCCTTGAAACTATCAGCTATTTTTTCCCAGCAAAAAACACACCACAACTAACTGGCAGTGTGTCAAAACCTTGTACCCCTGTAGTTCACATCAAAATAGCTGGGATTTATGGATGTTCATCCCACTAAAAATGGTATTTTCATAGGTATTGATCCATACCCAACTAACCCTCCAAGAACCTCCAAAAAAACCCTCCGCGCTCCGTATGTCCTTTCCGAAGTCCGTCTCCATCAGCGCTTTGGGCGACTCCACCCGATCGGACTTTTGGAGCGCAGTGCGGGCCTTGGCCAAAGCCTTCTCCACCTCCTGGATGAGTTGGATGAACTGAGCATGGGGGACTTCACCATGGATTTACCCGGCCTGGTTATGACTAACATAACGAACTGGAAAATCACCATGTTTCATTGGAAATTTCACTATAAATGGTGATGTTCCATAGTTATATTAAATTACCAGAGGGTAACATGATATAACCATCCAAATGTGGGAATTCGCAGTAGCTACAAGCTAGCAACGAAGAATGTGAGTTACCAGCAATGCAAGCAGCTGGAGTGGATTTAAGGCTGCGGATTTTAGGGGAGACACTTTTAGAAGAAGCGATTTGAGGGGTGGTTATTTTAGGCCATGTGATTTTAGCGGTGATTTTTGGGGAGGTGATCCTTGAGGATGGTGGTTTTAGAGGAGGTGTATCCCAAAAATCCGCCCCCGGCTCCGGATCGGCCGCCGCTGTATCGTCGCCCTTGGGCATCGCCTCTGCCGCGGCTTTCGCCGCAGCGGGGGTCGCTGCATCTGCCTGGCTTTTCCAGTGGAAATAGCATGAAAATCTTGGAAAATCTGATAGAAAGATTGTGGATTTAAGATGATTGCCGGAACTAGAACCTGCGCTAAAACTAGAACCCATTCCGCTTCTGCAAAGTGGTCCCTACATTTGGGATGCGGCCCCTATAACAAAGTGCTCCCACAAAACGGCAGTCCCCAACCTCATTTTGGGGGATAAATCGGTGCCATTTTTCCAACGTATATGGGAGTTGACCTACCCATTTCATGCAGGAAATTTCAAAAGGGAATTTAACGTGCTTTAACATGATCTAAATAACAAGCATTCCAGGTCTTTCCAACAAACAAAAAAGTGGGAAAAAGTTGTGTTTCCATGATCTCTTTCGTTGTGGTTGCTGGTTAAATTCCAGAATTCCTCATTGGAAGGAAGGTACCATAGGGGGTGAAATAAGTATCTGCTGAATTCCGGACATGGAATTCTGTTGCAGTTTTTGATTGTGAGGGTCCTGAAAGCTCCTGGTGAAGAACACATTGTCGCACATCTTTCACACCCCACAAATCCCATCAAACTCAGGCTCAAATTGTCCCCTCACCTCGGAACTTTTGTCGTCCGCCATGCCGCCCTGCCGGGGCCCGTGACATGTGATATTCTGGATGTCACTTTCAAGAATGTGTGTGTGTGGACCAGACCATATATGATCGTTTTTGTTGGTATGTACATGTGCATAAATACTATGTGTACTTGTGATTAATATCTATATGAACACGTATAATATATTTATATAGTTATATTATATATATACCGTATAGAAATATATAATACATTATACATTTATACATTATATAGATATATAAAGATACTGCAGATATGTATTCCATAATACATATATTGTGGATATCATAGATATATCATATATATAATACAGATATGTATTATAGAATTATATATATATGTATATACATTATATGATTGCATTGATATATATATATAAGTATATATATATATACATTTTAGTGATATACGTTATAAAAGTATATTAAAAATATATACCATATATAGATATAGATGTATCCTGAAAAAAAAGGCCCTGCCTGATATCGATGGATCCCAACATATCCCAACCACTGAGCCCCCGCACCAAACGAATCTTGTTCTTCTCGTAATCCTCAAAGATCAGAGATATTGGAGGATGGAGGTTGGAAAACCATAGGAAAACCATAGGAAAATGGTGATTTAATGAGGGTTTACGGTGGTTTAATGGGATTTAATGGGTTTTAACTACCCCAGAAACTTTGATGTTTTTTGTTGGGGATTGGAAACCATATTCAGGAACATACAATGGAGGTGTTTAGTAGTAAGGGGAATGGCTAATACTAAACACTTTGAGTTTTTTGTTTGATACTAAACACTTTGAGTTTTTTGTCCAGTGAAAGATCTATAATATACATACATATATATATGTATATATACATATACATAGCTCTGATATAACCAATAAGATTGTTTGTTTACCAACCAAACTTGGTGTGTTGAAAATGGGAGCTTCGCCAAATTTCAACTCTGGGGATACCCCAAAAACCACGATGATTTACCATGGTTTCTTGGGCACCTGCACCACCGAAAAACCTGGGCCCCAGAACGTCATTGATCTGGCCCAGCACCTGAAGGCCGAGTGAAAGGGAAAGTGCACCGTCCCAAATGACTTCCGCGGATTTCACATCACATCACTTGTTTAAAGCAAACGGGGAAAAAATGCCTCAAAAAGGTGTTGCGTGATGTTAAAAAAAAGTAGGACATTTACCAACCTCTGTAAAATGGTAGATTAACAAACCAATATAGTGTGAATATGTCATGGGATGTATGACCAATAAGATAATATATAGGTAGTAGTGTCCCTTTGCAGGAAACATGATACCCTCTGGTAATTTAACAGAGCTAGGGGACATGGTCCATTTACAAATGATTTACCCGTTAAAAATGTGATTGAATAGGCATATCACCCATGATGGGATATAATGGGGGGAGACTCAACAAAGCTTAGATGCTTTTGTCCGAACATGGGGGGCATCCTATTCATTGTGATTTAGGATTGAGAAAATGACATTGCATGTGTACATACATATGTACATATATATCTATATATATATATATCCCATTTTGGGGGCAAGCCAACACCCAAAAAAACGTGATTGAAATTTCTTGTTCCCTACTGAACATCCCTGCTTTGCTCACGCATGTTCAACTTCCTGAGTGTATCCCTTGGATGTTCACATCAAAATAGCTGTATAGCTGGACATTCATCCCCCCAAATCTCGGACTTTCCGTGGACTTGATGGGAATCCCAGCATCATATCTACCCCAGTCGGACTGGGCTGGGCAATTCATCCAAGTTCCGAAAGAGTCCTAGAGAACCCATCCAATACACATTGCAGGGGACCGCCAAAAAATCCACCAAGTTGTGTAGATCATTTTCCGGAGCCCCCCAAGTTATGTTTATTGCTGTGTATTTGGTTTGTTAACCCCTCTAACTATAGATATATCCATGAAATCCATGAAAACAACCTTTCGTAACTAAATCAAGCCCACTTCACCTAGTTCTCAACCAACTTACCTGTCGTTTTGGAGAACCCTTTGAAAAGACTCATGGCGCACGCTGGATTGGAAGGCTTCGGGGATGAAGCTATCGACCGTGTCCAATTGGCCTGTGCCAGCATCGAAATTGTGATTCGCTTTCAGCCATGGTTCGAAAATAGGGATTTTCGGCGGTTTTAACTAGTTTCAACTTCGAAGTTTTTTCAACTTAGCTAGTTTAGCTATCATAAAATCATGGATTCTTTGGTTTAGAAGTGATTTTATGATAGCTAAGTTCGCTAAGTTGGTAAGTTTATAACTGTTGGGCCCATCTGGTTGGATCTGTTTCCGCCATGGATCGCCATGGCCCAAAGGCCAGAAATAGATGGATGACATTCAAATAGAAATCTGCTTGGTTAAGATGTTAAGATTCTAATGAAAAAAATGATGGATCAGATGGATTATGATTCTAATTTCTAATTTCATGATGGCACTATCATGATGGTATAAACCATTACTGGTTGGTGGTTGAGCCCTACCCCTCTGAAAAATGATGGACTTCGTCAGTTGGGATGATGACATTCCCAATATGATGGGAAAGTCATAAAATTCATGTTCCAAAACACCAACCAGAAATAGATGAACCATAGCTACGGTGAAATAACCAAAGGCTAATTTCTGAGGTGGTTGTGAGGTCGTGAAGGTGAAGGTCACAAGAACGACGGTCACGACGCCCTGGGTTTAACGGTTTGGGGTCTGGATTTCAACACCCTACACAGCTCGCAGAAACAAGTTTCAACCAAAATAAATCATAATATTTAAACCCATGATTTCCTCAGATTTCGCCACCCTTTGATTTCCCCAAATCAGGGCACAACAAACCCACCACCCATTTCCGCCAGAGCTTCCGGACGCTGATGCCATGCTTCCAACTCATCCAGTGACTTGCAATCCGACGCACTGTAAGGGATCTCAGGCGGCAACCGCTGGGTGATGCTGGGTGCGGTGCCACCCACCGAGAGGTGGCACCGCAGGAGAAATTCAGGGATGATCCATGGCAATTTGGGGATGGGTCAAAACCCTATCCCCCTGGTGAACATCAAAATAGCTGGTAAATGGATGTTCATCCCCCTAAAAATGGTATGTATAGGTATTGATCCATGGCAATTTGTTGCCCAAATCTGGGGCAAAATTTCAAAAGCTGCAGGGTTTCCTGGCATCCATTTGTCGAGATTTGTTGCCCGAATCTCGAAAAAAGATCGGAATCCTAGGCCAAAATCAAAGCCATGAAAACGCCATCGGCAACCGGTTTACCAGGCAACTGAAGGCTTGATGAATTGCTGGCTTCAATGGATTGACCTGTTCCCAACATATCCGTGGTGTGGGGCAGAACCCAAGGTTTGGGATCTTTACCAGCAGCCCCAGATCATTGCAGCAAATGATCAGGCTTCTCTTGACATTGGCCTGCAAGGTTCCCATGCTGTGCATATCTATATATATATATATATATCTGTGTGTGCGCGCGTATGTATTATATACATATATATATACACATGTATATAGATATATAGATATATATATATACATATATACATATACATGTGTATATATATATATTCCATTATATACATATATCCCGTTATATCCCCATCAAATGCTTAGTTCTACCTCCATGTTTGTTGCAGAAACCCATTTTACTGAACAGCCCTCTAAGGTGGCGACGGACTGCTGCTGCCCCTGCTGTTGCTGGAACTGCGATGCGGCCACAACCGATGGCTCCAGAAATGGGTTCTACCGGAGGGTTGCCATTTTGGACTGTGGATTCTTGGTTCTTTCCGGGTTTTTCCCATGTTTTTTCTTTTTTTTCATACAAGCCCACATGATTTGTGATAAAAAATGGATTTCTCTCACTCCAGAAGATAAATCATTCGCCCAGGATGCTGCCGGCTTATGTCATAGGACCAGGAAATGGGAAGATGTTTGTTGTAAGTGCAAAAAAGGTCATTGTGTGCGCATATCGAGATGTATGCTCTACAGTTTTGCTGTGTACATGTAGATCATGATTTAATCTTGATTTATCTATCTTAGGTCATGATATATCATATATCTCTATGTCATTCTATATATATATTATACATATTACAGTTGTATACATAGATGTATATATATATATACATATGTGATATCTACTATCTACATGTCATAAATTAGCATATCTTTAGAACTACTCATCCCCGGCCCATCCAAAAACCGCCGTGTCCACGAGTCCACGATCCAGTCGTCCGGTCGCCCGCCTTCATCCAGTCCTGGCGATTGTACTTGCCCATGTACTGCTGGAAGTTCATGTACCTCCAGGGCTGAGGTTTGAATCTGCAGACAGAATATCTGTAGATATATATATATATATACATATACATGTGTGTGTATTCATGTAGATATGGATGATATGGAGATCAGATATAGGTAGGGATATTAGATATGAATATGGATATAATGATATAAATGGATATAGATATACATTTGTGAATATAGATGAATACATATGAAGTGACTGTATATATATATATATATACATTACGTATATGTCTATGTCGTATTCCCCGAGCATCAAGGCAATCAACTCACTCTTGGAAAAACTATGACCTCCCAACTGTTTTCTCCCAGCTAATTGGCTGCAGTTCAAGTTAGTGGAGATGTATTGTAATATAACAACCATACCCTCTGGCAATTTAACATAGCTATGGAAAATCACCATGTTCAATGGGAAAATCAACTATTTCTATGGCCATGTTCAATAGCAAACTGTTTGTTTACCAGGCCGGGTAGTTCTAGGGGTGAAATCCCAACGTATGGTGTCAAAATCCCCTCGTTATAGCTATAACGACATCACCCCAACGGTTCAACGACCCCTCCCGAGATCACTGCTGAAAGTTGTTGGCTGAAGGTTTTCCAGAATCCGACCTGGCTGCGATGAACCCTGCACCACAAAAGGGGATTTTTGAGAAACTTTGAACCCAAACTTTTTCAATATTTTGAAGAATACTTTGAAGTAAACTTGAAACCCAAACTTTGAACAAACCATACGAATTGAAGAATTGGGGTTTTAGTGACTTGGGGTAAAAACATCGGTTTGCCACAGATCAGCAACACTGTTTCATCCAATTCTCATCATCGGTCTCCCATCCGCCCAAACAAGTCATCTGCCGGGGTGACGACTTGGAATCACCACCTCGACCGCAGGGGCATTGCGGCATAGCCCATGTCTGGCTGATCTCATATGGTTGTTAGCCTTGGTTGTTACATGTTGTTACCCACTTCCTAACCAGAAATGGTTGTACCTCCAAGTGACTCCCAAGTGACCAAAAGGTACCCTGCTAGAAATTTTGGGATGAAATCACGCAGCTTGAGCATTGGTTGAGACCTCACTCAAACTGTAGAACAGGGCTCTCCCACCCTGCGGGAACCATCGAATTTTTGGGTTCAGGAGGAAGCATCGAAACGTCGGACATGTTTTCTAGAAACGTTTAAAAAAATCCTTCGATTTCAGACTGGATTCTGCATTTTTATAACCATCCAAACAGCCACAACATAGATCGATTTTTCCAGCTGTCTGCAGGTTTTCCCATGTACCATCCACTCCACATGTGCCAACCATTGTAAGCCCTAAGGCTCTAAGGTAGATTCGGGAGACCATGCCCATTTTTCCTAACAGAGGCACCTTGAGAGGCGCCCATGTACTTGGAAAAGTCCATGTAGTTCCTCAGCGCGCGGCGATCTCCCATGGGCCATCGGGCTTGGTTTGGGGAGATCGAAGTCTGATTGTTTCAGGTATCCATCCCATGAATCTGATCTAATCCCTTCCAGAGATTTTGGAATGTATTAGGTCGGAAAAATTATCAGGTCCTATCTGGGAGGGCTGCTCCGCGATGAATTGAAACACATTCCTAGATCTAACACTGTTATCCAGCTTCGATTGGATTGGAAGGGAAAATGTACAGGAAACCCCTACATTTCGGAAAACCCCCTGATTTGCTATCAAAAGTAGTGTTTCCTCTAGAAATTCCCAACCCATCCCATGGCCCTGGAGGGCCCTGGAGGGCCCTGGAGCCCCTCACGCACCACTTCCACCAGAGTTGCCTCGCGGTAGCGCGGCCGTTACGCCGTTCCTATGAGGGGAACATTTTTACCCACCAACGGTCAGAAGTGCACATGGATTGATGTGGTTGAATATGTATCCATAGAAATATACATACACAATCTTACGCATGTGTATATATATATAATATATATAATATATATATATAATATATATATAATATATATATATATATAGCGAGAGAGATGATATGGGTGTCTGAGTTTCCGTGACTATACATAAATCATAAATATCTATGGACATGTAGAGATCGATAACTTAAGAAATGCCGCATCTATTCTCTATGCTTCAATGATAATCCCTGGTTAAACTGATGCTCTGCAGTCTCGGATAGTTTTCCCCTCTGGGGTCAAAATGGGCCACTAGGGTCCATATCACCCCACCCCAACTTTTATCACAAAGCATTTGCTGACCAACGAAATGCTTCTATCCCAACGAAATGCTGGTTGTAACAACAACTTTAGGCTTTAGCCGACTCAGTCTGGTTTTATCTGGGTATATATAACTTACTTTGTTACTTGGTTCTATCTGCTTGAAAATGCAAGATTTGCTAAGATCTTTCAGGTTGTTTCAGTCAGTTACACCCTGCGCGAACTCTGGGCCTCCCATGTACTTTGAGAAGTCCATATATTGCCTCAGCAAACAAAAAGGCGCGTACGTTGAAACGCTTCAAGAAATGATCCTGAACAATCATGAACAATCCAAAAATCAGGTCCAAAAATTTCGATCCGTCACCCCTTAGATAGCATCAAGCCAAACATAGGGGTATGATCCGTTCCAAGGTCCCCCACGAACCTCCAGAATTTCCACCTGCCGACGGCTTCACGTCAGCTCGCTGTGTCTGTGAACCAAAAATCAAACCTTACCCAACCAGAAACACCATGGAAAAACATGGCAAAACCATAGAAAAACAATGGAAAAACAATAGAAAAACCATGGAAAAACCATAGGAAAACCATGACCATAGAAAAACGATGGGAAAAAACATAGAAAAACCATGGAACAGCCATAGAAAAACCATGGAAAAATCATAGAAAAACCATGGAACAACCGTAGAAAAACCATGGAACAACCATAGAAAAAACCATGGAACAACCATAGAAAAACCATGGAAAAACCATAGAAAAAAATATATTACTCCCCAGATTGCTGGTAATTTGGTTTTCCAAAGATCTGCTTGCTGGACGATTTGGGTTACTCCGCTGGAACTGCAAACTGGCCGAAATTCGTGACGAGCTCTTTGAACGTCCTCAACTCCTTCCCTCAATGTAAGTGACCAGATCAGCCGTGACTCAATGGAATAACTGAATAACTGCTCATCATCCATATGTATATATATATATACACTACCAATCAGTTCATTTGCAACTGGCATACAAATGTATTGTCCATGAAATCCTAACTTCTTAACATATCTTAACATACGTATAGCACCCCCCAAAAAGAAAAGTTGGAAACCTGGAATGTGACAGGGAAAACATCATTTACCATGCTGGAAATACCATCATTACCCACTGGTTGGTGGTGCAATAACCATCTTGAAAAATGATGGAGTTCGTCAATGGGAAGGATGACATCCCATATGTCCCATATATGGAAAATAATCCATTCATGTTTGAAACCACCAACCAGTGATTATTAACCATTAACCATCATTAACCATCATTAACCATCATTACCCCATACCATGACCATCATTTTCCCATGATTTTTGGGGGTTACCAGCGGTTACCATACTTTGATACGCCCGTTTGCTGCCCGGGCCAGGAATGTACTGCGAGATATCCGGGATGTACTGCTGGAAGTTGCCCTGAGCCTTGCAAACGACCGGAAGAAATAACACCTGGGTGGTAGAAAATCTGGAGATAAGTCTGAGATAAGTCTGAGATAAGTCTGAGATAAGTCTGAGATAAGTCTGAGAGCAAGAAAGAACTCGAAGTTCTGCAACCCCATGGCATATTCAACGAAGACCCAGGACATTACCAGCAACAGGGATCTCGCGAACCCGAGGATTCGTTCATGGATGCTGATTTTTGGGTCATAGAAAGACCTATATAAAATGATCAACCAAAGGTTGAAGGTAACCAAGGGTTGTGCAAACCGCTCAGGATGTAGTTCATAGCCATTCGGGTCATGTACTACCCAGCCTGGCTCTTTTCGGATTGGTCCTGGGACCGGCTCCTAAATCACTGGGGCTATCCTTGGATCAAAAATTACAAGTCACTATCTTTTGGGGGAGCACAAGTCACTATAGTCAACAGAGGTTCAATAGCTTCGCTTACTGGCATTGATCCATTTCTAACTTCATCCTGTGCCCTCTCCTCGTCCTTTGATTTGGCGGACTTCTGAGATTTCTCGGATTTCTCAGACTTGTCAGCCCTGACGTTCACCACTGGAAGCGGCCAACCAGGGAAAATATGTATGCCACTTTATGTCCCACTTTCGATGTCTGGGTCGGGGTCTCCAAATCGGATCGCGATTTTGAAGTGCCATAGAAACAAGACGATGGGCCATGATGGTTATATTTGAGGCCTTCACTTTCACCCAAATCTGAAAAGCCTCGTTGGGTGAGCAGTCCTGATAACAGTCATCCCCTTCTAGCTGCTTTTTCAAGTGATTCACACGTGTGTATTTGTGAAATACTCCAGAGTCGCTATATTTTCATTGTTCAATCATTAATTACTGAATGAACTACCATGATCGCAACAGCTTTATTGATGAAAGAAATCAATTGGGTTCTCAAATCCCAACTTTCGCCATCAACCACAAAAGAGATTTGGGGCATGGCTCAGGAAGCTGTCCGGTGGTACGTGTGGATGTAGCTTTGCCAGGGTTATGTCCACCATCGAGAATTGGGTCATTCCAAAATGGTTGGTGGTTTAAACTCATCCCAAAAATGTGAAAGCAAGAACCGTCATCGCAGCAGAAAACTAGAAATCCCTTAAGCCCCCAACCAAAAAAAAAACTACCACGAACGAAACCCTGGTTTAGCACTTGTTGGAAGTCCGTTTTTGTTGGGGCATTTCAGATTCCGGGGGAAGGGATGGTTTGAAAACCACTTAACCAGTGCCTCACGACCGATTTTGTTGGGAAACCCAACAAAAACACACCATTTTCTGCTCCATGTGCCGGGCATCCGGGCGCGAACATCACAGGTGCGGCCTGGGATCGAGATGATCGGTTTCTTGCCAACCGAAAATACGGCAATGCCTCGAAAAAAGGCCACTCAAGGATTCTAGAAGAGGTAAGTCAAACCTCAAAAAGGACCACAGACCTACAAGAAAATGAGCATCTATGATTATGACAATTTTAGCCAGCCACACATTGGAAATCCAAAATTATTTAACAATGGGATCTATGATTCAACAATGGGATCTTGATCCATCTTCGCCTTTTGACCCCCTCCAAGGACCCCTCTGAGGAGCCAGCTCCCGAGGACCTGAGCACAGGCAATTGCGCTTCGACAACGACGGTCCGGCAACCCGAAATAAACCTTTTAGAAACCCGTAGATATACCCTAAATAAATATATATATATATACCCTAGATAACCCGTAAAGGTTACCCTAGACCAACCAAAAAGTTGGCCCTAGATATACCCTATATGAATATATATATGAATATTATACCACCCCTAAACCCTCAACAAACCCGGAACCGAAGTTGCCCAGGTTCAGCGCCCAGGACTAGGACTGAGCCCCCCGACGGAACATACTTCCTCAGATTTGGCAATCCCCAGTTGCTCCCCTGCCTATCAAAAAATAATGCCATTGCATAAAAATGGAGGATTATATACGGAGTAATACAGTAATGTCGGAGATTCAAGAAAAAATCTGGTGCCATTGTGTACACAATGGCTGTTTTAGACCATAATATTAATCAAAAAAAAGTCGAACTGCAATGGAAACACAAACGGCACAAACGGTCTCATTTTGTTTGGGTTGGCCAGACATAGGTGGTTCATCAGGAGTTCCCATCCGCTTGAGGAAACCTGGTCACAAAACATAAACCCCTTTTTTGGGTTTTTATGTCTTATAACAAAATTAACATATTTTGGGTCGTGAAAATTTCCAGAAACACCCAGTTGATCGCCTAAACCATCATACTATCAGCTATCCCAATCTATCCCAATCAATGGGTCGCCAAGCAACTGAAAGTCTCCCTGAGCTCCGTTGGATCCGTTGGATCCTGGCAATGCCAGATGCTGGCACTTGGCGACCAAAAATGCTGAACCAATAAAAAAGGGTGATGTCACCGACCAATTTATTCTTATCCAAGATACAAAAGTCATCATTGAATAAAAAAAGCTCCGAAAGATGATGGTTCGACCCATAGAAACGGTAGAACATTTCTCAACGAGCTATTCCCTTTCAACCCAGGTGTCCGTTGCTCGGCAAGGCTGGAGGATGCACGGTCTTTTGTATGGAAACCAACTCTTTTGACCGCTTTTACAAAGGGCCTCGTTTTGAGAAGAAGCCATCTCCCCCAAAAAAAATACAGACCTTGCAGTCTTTGCTTGAAGTCTGCAGATGGCCCTCTTTTTCGCACCCAGGACATCGAATTCTTTGCCGCCTCCAGACATGTACTTCTGGTAGTTCATGAACTGCTGCCAGTCCACGTACTGCTTGTAGTCATTCATGTATTTCCTGGGCTCCCACATGGCCTCCCCCTGATGCTTAGAATTTGTGGAAAAAAGACTCTTAGAATCAATGTAGGCAAACCCAAACGGACGAATATGATCAATAGTGATGACCCCATTTACATCTGGTGTATCAGTTTTGAATTCATGTTTGTTTGTGAAAACCCATTTCGGTGAGTTCGTTGGTTCGACCGTGTTAGACCCGTTGTTCCTATCTACCTTCCCGTACTTGGCCGGTTAAATACCCCTTTGGTTCGCTTAAATCCCATGAAAATCAATTGCAGGATGTGCATTTCCGGATCGCTTGCTACGTCTTGGTTTCCCAGTAAGCAACGATAGTCAAATTGCCTGATGGACCATCATATCCCCATTTCCATCCATTTCCCCTATCAAAATGGGCCATGACTGAGGCAAATCTTGGGGAGCTCCATCGATGTGCCATCCCTTCCCCACCCAAGGAACTCGAAGCTTTGCGTGTTGCCTTCGGTTTTCGACGTTCCGATACGGCGTAGGTCACAGGGGTTTTACCGAGCTGACCCGGGGGGCCACCCAAGTCATAGGGCTACCCCCAATCATCTAAGTCATTAGTCCTTTTTGAGTAAACCTATGGTCTTGGAGATTCCCCATTTTCGGAAACCTCCGACCCATCCCCCAAAGTCAGGCAGCTTGAAAACACCACACCACGATGAGATAGGTCGCGCAACAAAACAACAGGATAGAACAATTTCTTCCAGCATCAAAATAGTCGAGATCAAGTTTCCATCATTCTGAAAGACCTCCAAATTGGCTACTTCAGAAAGTACATACAAACACCGTGACACCCAGATGTTTGGCTTTCACAAAAGGCACAAGCCATTCATCTGAGGATGCCACAAAAACCTAACGAAAACGGATATATGGTGGATATATTCCACTTGGATGGGTGCAACTAAACCAACAAAAATCAGGACTTGGAATATAGATATCAGATTTAAATATCCCCCCAAAACAGCAAATTTAGCGGTATTTACCGTGGTTTTCATACATATCTTTTTTAAAAAATTAGGGCATTTGGGGGGATCAAAAATTGCCATGTTTTTGCAATTTTGTTTCAACATGCAATGCTGTGTTGCCATCCCGCCCTTTCCTTGTACATCGGATTCAAGGTTGAAGATTCAAGATTTTTTTTGAACCTTGAATCTTAAAATTTAAAGGTTGCATTCAATTTTTTCCTGAATTTTGAATCTTGAATACAGAGAGGCTGGATTCTTAAATCTTGAATCCGGCCGCCTTGAATTCAAGAGGTTTTTTCTGGATCTTTAATCTTGAATCTTGAATTCAGAGAGGTTGGATTCAAGATATTTTTTTTTGAGTTTTGAATCTTGGTTCCAGGTACTTAGAGCACTGTCAGCCACCAGAAATTGCAATTTCTTGCAAATGCCCGGCCATTCTGCTAAGTACATATCCGTTGAAATTTTGTGGTTTTGCACCTTTTAAATTCCACCCTTATCCAAAAAAACAAAAGTTGTTAGTATTTTTTGATGTCAAGAGAAAAAATGCTTGGGTAACACCAGAAAAATAAATCATGAGTTTCAGACCAAACCTTCCCTGATGTTTTTGTTTTTTTGGTTTTCTCGCGGTGTTGCTGACGGTGTTGCTGTAATTCATATCCACATCCTTTAAGAGCAGCAGCAGTAGGCTCAGCAAGATATAGCATAATTCAAAAATGGGCTGGTAAGCAAAGCACACACTTGCAAATATGCAGATTAAATCAGACACCATGTCTAGTCAGCCACCACTCATGGACATCATCCAGGTGTGAAATTGTTGCTTGGTGTTCCCATGGTTTGAGCACCCTCTCAGAAAGTTACTTAAAACGTTTAAAAACCATGAGAAGAATTGGGTTCACAGCTCATACTTCGCCGTGAGACAAAATGACGTTTCGGTGATGTGTATGTCGCACTCAAATCATCACAATTAAATGGGTTTCTACTTGTCGTGCGGGTTCAATGTTTGCAAAAGTGCCTTTTTTCTCTTCTGCAAAATGCGAGTAAACTAGCCAGCTTTTCACCAAATTTTGGTTAGATGCCACAAGAAGGTCTTTGCATTCAAGTTTCCCAAGTTTTTTTCGCCAAGCCGTGGCGTGCAGACGTGCAACCAACTTAGCATCCGTAGCCTGCAGACATGATACCAACGTAGCATCCGTAGCGTGCAGATGTGCAACCAACGTAGCATCCGTAGCGTGACGTATCTTCGATTCCGTAAGAAGACGCGTCTGTGCGAATGCAAACACAGGACGTTATTAGCCCCCACCCCACCCCACCCCATCATAACCTCTAAAATGATTTTTTTAAAAAAAAAAAAACATATTTTGCCACGGCGAATTATGAGCCGTGGTCCAACTACAAGGCAACCAAGACTTGAAAATATGATTAAGTAAACAAGTTTTAGCATTGACTTTGAAGTTTGTTGTCGAAGCAACACCCTGCAATAGAGGCCTGTGCAGCAGTATTTTTCGAAGAATATGACATTCTTTGCTTAAAGCCGCCTCATTCCTTGCATAAAGTGAAATCATTTTTAACAATCCCGTTCTATAAATGAGTGCAGCGTTTCTTTGAAAGGAATATAGCGTTATTTTCAAAGAGGCCAGAGACTTACCGCTGTGCAAAGTTATCAAGGAGTGCAGCATTTCTTTGAAAAGAATATAACGTTATTTTCAAAGAGACTTACAGCTGTGCAAAGTTCTGTTAAAGAGGTAAAGAAAAAATTATGGAAGGAGGACAGCGTCGCGACAGAATGGAATACTTTGAGTAACCATTTTGACCAAATATGGTATTCCTTAAAGAGAGTGTTGCTGCAAGTATGTGCAAAGCCTCCTTCACAAGGGAGCGAACCATTTGACTGAAAACCATGCAATAATACAAAAAAAGATAGAAAAGTTGAAAATCATAAGGGGAAAATACATCGAACTACCATCCTGGTTTCACACCGGCATCTTTTTGGGGGTTTGCTATATATCCCAATGAGTTAGTTTACCCATTAGATCATACTTAGTCCCATTAAATCATAGTTAGTTTTCCAATTAGTGGTGATTTAATGGTGATTTCATAGTGATTTCATGGTGCATGGTGATTTTGGGGTGAGTCCCATTAAATCATCAACAAATCACCATGACATCCCACACCAAACCTGAGTCGCCCATGAAGGCGGCCACATCGGGTGCCTCGAAGGGATGCTTTTCTTGTCACGGGGTGTCCCAAAAAAAAGTCAATATATATATATATATGGATATATATATATATATGTATGTATGTATATATATATATATGTATGTATATATATATATGTATCCATATATATATATGTATGTATATACATACATATATATATACATATATATGTGTATATATATGTGTATACATATATATGTCATCCGATGTTTTTTAAGACGTCATGCTTTCAAATAGTCTGACGTGGCAAAAGAAAATGATGTGATTTGAAAATCATCACTCGATATGATATTTCAAATCACATAATTATGTATATATATATATACCAACCCTTCACATCACCCAAAAAAAGTAATTGAAGTTTTCCTGTGCCAATTCCAAGTCGTACTGAATTTTGCAGGTCGCTTTGTAATTGTGAAAATCCCCGCATCGACGCATCAAGGTTCTCAAAGCAATAGGCTGATCAGGACTGCACTAGGTGCAGTCCTAACTGTGATATTCATTTGGTGGCATAGTGACAAAGTAAGTTATAACATCTCTTTTCAAATGAATATGAACATATATATATATATAATCTATATACATTATTTTACATATTCTATATATATATATACATACATACACAACTTCAAAAAAAAACAACCTGAAATCCGTCCACAATGGCAGCGTCTCACCATTGGCCCTTCCCGTCTTGGACTCCCACCCCACTCGTGTACTTCTTGAAGTCCATGAACTGCTGGAAGTCCATGGCCTTCGGTTTACCAACTCATCCCAAAAAAAAAGACGTGTATCTATTATATATATATATGTATATATTATGTATTCCCACTCAGAATTCACTTTCTTTCACTGACACCGGTCGCAGCGTAAAGCAACAATGGACCGTGGGAAAAAAAAATATTATGTATGGATATGTATATATGTAATATATATATATATATACATATAATATTATATATACATATACATAAGAATATATCTACATATATATATATTATGTGTATGTATATAATATATATATGGAATGGATCAAAACCTCATCTAGGACATCCATAGATCCCAGCTAAAACCACAACCAGATGCCCTGAACCGCTGCCTGGTGTCCCTGGCCCTTGACGTACTTGGAATAGTCCGTATACCTCGGTGAAAAACGCCAACGGATTCAAGGAAATTCACCCAGGGTGTTCAAGGAAAATCATAGAATATCATATGAAAATCATGGAAAATCATGGAATATATATATATATATGAATGAGTGGAATATGAATCAGTTCAACTTGTTCAACGGAATGGAATCGGAAAATGGGAAGATCACCAGATCACGATGAGAAAATTCCAATTCCAAGAAACAATTTCTGGTCAAAACTGGGCATCAAAAAAAAGGGGGATGGTTGGAAGTGGTTCAATACTCCAATGTGTCAATCTGCGAGCACGGTCACAATGAGGTCACCCACGGTCCCTCTTGGTAGCAGCAACCCAATCCACCAGGTGATCATTCAAGGGGGCTGAGAAACTGAGAAACTCCTCAGAACTGGCCACCAAATGGAGGTGGACAAACCGACATAGTCTGGACAACCTTCCAGAGTTGATCCAGCTATAGCACCTCCAAACATAGCCCAGATGCTGCTGCTGAGGGGAGCCGGAGTCTCCCTGCGACATGTACTTCCTGAGCACAGAAAAAGCGTTGGAGGTGTAAGGAGTTTCAGGAGTTTCAGGAGTCCTGGGTCAGTTGAATCCTGTACAGCTGGTGGTAAACATCAATTTATGGAAGAGCTCCCCAGGAGATTTTTCCATATCCAAAAGGGAAGACATTGGGCAACCTTTTGGAAATATTTTCATCGAATAGCAAAAGGCCAATCAATCCATCGAAAAAATGAAAGTATCAATCCCATGCCGGACAATGTCCAGAGAATTGGGTGTTCATTGCCCATCCTTTGTAGGATGCAAAAAAAACCAGCCACAAAATGACCATCACGCGGCTACCTGAATGGATCCACGTGCAGCGAGGTGCTTGAAATCCATGTACTGCTGGAAGTCCATTCCTCCGGTCTTGCCACCATTGGTGTACTTCGACCAATCCTGGGCAGAATTGTGCCCTGCCAAGAAGTTTCAATCTTAAAAGGATTGATCATGTGGGTATGTCTAATGGGGAAAACCCATAAATGATTACTGTATGTTCGATGGGGGGCCTGATGACTCATCAGCAGATTGTCGGGGTGATGAGTTGGCCTCAAATTTGCCCTACAGAGTTCCAACTGGCGACTGCTGCGAACGACTCGTCCTTCTTTCCCCTTTTTGCTGCAACGATTATAGTACAAGCAGAATCTCAACTTTGCTAATTCTGAGCAAAAGGGCCAAAGAGTTTCCCTTTTCTTAAGTTAGTTTTCCTAACATGACCCAATATTAGACCTGTAGCCACTTCCACAGTGACCAGTGCTTTAAAAAATCCACGCAAGTTACAGCAATTCATTGTGTCTGCCCATTGCGAATTCGCCAAATCTATCTATTCAATGATCCTCGAAATTAAAAAAACTGGCTCTGTTTCTTCAACTTTGACAAATCATCTCGAAGACTACCCCATGAATATTCACGACCAAGGACGACTGCTGAAACACAAACAACGCCTAGAGGCGTAACCTCATCCCAGCCTGGTAGCTGTTCCATGAACTTTTTGAAGTCCATGTACTTTTGATAGTCCCTGAGCAGATCCATGCCCTGAATCATTGGATTCACCGAAGTAAACATCGTCTATATTCGTATGTATGCACACATGTGTATATGCACATACATGATTGTGTATACATATGTGCATATCTGTACGTATATGAGTATATATGTGTACTGAATATGCATATGTATGCAAATATATATATATAGTGTATAAATGTGTATATATATATGTATATATATTGCCCTTGAGATCGGGGCTTCCCAGGGTTTTGATTGTGGCACAGGCAACCCAAAATGTGCGGTCCCTGGATCTCAAATTCTGACCCAGTGTATGAATATTGTGTACCGTATATATACATAGATATATCTGTCTGTCTACATTATATATCTGTAAATGTATACATGTGTATGTGTATATATATATATATATTTGTATATATTCATTGATACATATACACACGCATGCATTTTTAATGCAGCAAAGAATCTGTGGGTTGTGTTTTTCTTCCTTCTCTGGTTTCTCCTCTTTCTCAGGCTTCTCTTCCGACTTGCTGTTGCTGTGCGCCTGATGCTTTCTCGAGACTGTGTGCCATGGGGCTGTGGGTCAAGACTGTTTGGATGTGCATGCCAGGAATCGTAAGGAATTCAAACCCATGAATATCATCAATTTGCATTGATGTTCCATGTATATAATATAACATTACATTTTATATACATACATATATAATATATGTATATGTATATATATATATAGTATACTTGCATATACATACATGGTGATACATGATGATACATGATGTAACCGGGCCATTTCACATTGGAGATCACCTCCTGCAAACCCAGCCTCAGCTACAAGCACCGCACCTGGCTTAGTATTCAGGGTGAATCCCCTATTTTTGGACACACTTGATCAAACCAACAGCTGACAAATGCCAGTGGTATCCTCAGGGTGCAGTGGTGGCTTCAAAGAGCAAGGATCACAGCAAAATGGGGATTAGATGGGAAAGGATTTGGTGCAGGAAAACTGAACATAACACATTCATGTATAGGATACATAGACATATATTGAATGTAGATGGAATATGACTTCTACAAAGAAAATGTATGTGTATGTGTATATATATATATATGGTGTGTGAGTATATCATATATATTTGTATACACATACATACATACATACATACCATACCATACCATACCATACCATTACATTACATTACATTACATTACATTTCATTTCATTACATTACATTACATTACATACAGATATATATATATATATACTGTGTATGCATACATATGAAAAGAGAGAAGCCACTGCGACTGACCCTCCAACCAAGGATGTCACCAGGAGATTCTCGCAGGAACTTCTGGTACCTGGCGGCAGCCCGGCGGGTGCCTGGCTACATCATCTCCTAGGATCCGCCATCTCCAATGACATAACATAAATGGGTGCTTTTTGAACCATCAAAATATTGGTGGTGCACATGAATTCTCTACTAACAGTAGATATGGAGCTCAGCCCGGCACTTGAGTGGTACGGGGGGTGCTAAAAAAAGCCCTGAGGGTACCAATTACCAATGAAGCCACCAATTTCAGGACTTGATTATCGTAATGTGATGAACAAATCTGCAAAAAAGAAACGGAAAAAATATGTGGTTTTTCATCGGGGCATCAGACCATCCATGGCATCCATGGTGTGTCGCATTTTTCAACATCTGCAGGTGCACGAAGTCCACTGATTTTGAACCCAGCTACTGAGCATACTGCGCGCTGTACTTGTCTGGGACCTGGCAGCCGGATCGTTGCTGAAAACTGGGATCAACTGAAGAAACATATGGCATTGGTTAATCATGATATTCCCATTGGTTATTACCATATTTTACCATTTTACGTACCTCCATCTGGGATGGATATGAGGTTGGACAAAAATGGACATTTTCAGTGTGAGCCCCAAGTCATTCACTAAGGACGATGGGATTCGGCCAGTGAAAGCAGTCGTTTTTTTCGGTCCGTCAGAGTCATCCACGGTGCAATCCCATCATTGCAAGACCAGAGTAGAACTTTATCAAAGGAATGGGAGCGGTCACAGAAGGCACCAGGTCTCAGGTTGATTCTCTATTGATCTGTGTGTAGTGATGACCCAAGGTTTAGGCAAACGCGTCACAGCGTTGCCTGTCTAGGTCTAAAGGCGTACCTGACTAGTGTTTTGATGCATCAAAAACTAAACCAACTAAGTAACTACGTCTGGGCAAGTTCCAAAATGCAGGGTCCCCTCTCAGAACTTCCTGTCCTGAAAATGCTGCTTGTGTTTTCCTGGCTTGAAGGGTTAACTCAAAGTTTAGTGCCTTTACACTGCAGGATGGGGCAAGATCCCCCCTCAACCGAATGGAAATTTCATCCTGTCCGCCTGTCCAAAAAGATATGGTCAATCTAGGCCTTGACCGGCTAACACCCTCCCATGACAACCCACCTTCTGTCCAGACATGTACTGCCTTAGTGTGGCTGGTTGGCATCACCCCTAAAAAAAGCTGTTGTGGTTGGAAGGTTGGAAAACACGGGCTTCCCCAGCAATGCTTGGGCAGGGATGGAATGTCCCCGACCGCAGCAGTGAAAGTTGCAGCATATCATCCCATGCCAAGAAACTAATTGTACAGCTGAAGATTTCTGAGAAAATGGGGATCCCAGAGTTCCACTCTCTCAATGGTGTCTAGCTTAGCAGACGCAAAAGACAAAGGATATGGGCCCTATGGGCTGCTGAGAATCTCTCTTGGATCTCCTGGATGTGCATTCCCAACGGATGGGTCCATATATTGGCCTATGAACATCCCAGTCGATTGAAGGCAAAACTGGTCAAAGATCGATATGTCAATATCAAACTCAATGGATCGATCAAAGGGAAACTTTAGAGAAGTGCTCAGTTCCTTTAGATTCTAACTGCCATACGCTTGGGAAACTCTTAGTAGCTCCTTGGCTCCCCATTTCATAAGGAATATGATGGAATATGGATACCCATAGCATCCATTCCATACTGGGAATCCCCAAAAAATGGATATTAGTAAATCCCAATAAATACAT